AAAAAACTTGAGGGTCGCCACGTAACCTACTTAAAAGGACACCTCCCCGCTTCCCTTCGCAACCATCGTCACCTCCCTTTAGTTTGGTCTTCCCTCCTTTTCTCATTCGGATTCTTCTAATCGGCTCGTCTTCTTCTTCCTCAATTCGTCTCTTCGCATCCAGGTACATCATCATCCTTCAATCCTTGATTATAAACTGTTAATTTATGATTAAATTGTGGCTTAATTTTGCTAATTGAGGTGATAACAGTACCGATTTCTTGAGAAAATGCGTTCTTGATCGAGTTTTATTATCTGCAGTCCTTGCTTAGGGAAAACAAATATTTGAGCTTTGAGTGGCAACTTCTAATTGATATTTAAATTGGTATATTTTCCTGATTAAACCGGTAGTAATTTCTCAAAATTCCAGTTCTGAGCATGTAATTTCTCGAATTTATGATTTATATGAGTTCTAAAGCTGTTAATTTAATGCTGAAATTCCCTTTTATTTAATACAAATTATGAAAGTTTACAATAATACAGGTCAGATTTCTAGTAGGTTTATGCTGAGGAGTTGGTTTTAACAAGAACCTAGATGATTAACCTTAATTTATTGTATCAGTTCAAAGTAAGGGATAAGAGGAGGGGTAGGGGTTGAACAGAGAGGAAGGAAAAGATGTCGGGCATGGGAGACGGATATGTGGGCACGGCCCAAGATGCCGTGAGGATTCGAAGACTTGAGAAGCAAAGAGAAGCCGAGCGCCAGAAAATTCATGAGCTCAAAAGCAAGTCAGCCAACGATACAGGCCAGCCAGGTCTCCTCCAATTCGGGTCAAGTACCTCTGAGGTTTGTACTTGAAACCGAACTCATATCTAGGGCTTTAAAGTTCCCCATGCACATATATATCGGTGTCAGAAATCTTATGACTTTTTAATGTTGGTTCTGTGTACTCTCTGGTTTATCAATGATGAGAAGCATGAAAGTTGTGAGCCTATTCATTAAAAAAAAAATTTCTTGTCCTTACGATTTATGTGGTACCAAATAGGTGTGTTACAAACTTACAATAGATATAGATAAGAAGTTTTGTACGGACAGAATTTTTATCGTTGATTAATGATTTTCTTGATTGATATTTCAGATTCTTGAGACGGCATTTAAGAAGGAAACCATTGGTTTGGTAACAAGGGAGCAGTATGTGGAGAAGGTAAATACTAAACAACTAGGATTGCTTTCTTTTACTTATACTACTGGAAGCATATGATGGTTAAAGTGCAGTGCTTGTGCTGTGAATTTATGTTGTAGAAAGAAAATATTAAGATCAAATTTGAGGAGGAAGAAAAGGAGAAACTTCAGAAGCTACAACAAGAGTGAGTTTCGTAACAGATGACTGTGTTGCTGTTTGATTTATGAACATCTGAAAGTGTTTATATTTGTCAATGACATGCAACAGTCTAATTTTGTTTTTCCTTTTATAATTTAGGGAGGAGCTTCTTCAATTACAAAAGCGAAAGAAGAGGAAGATAAAGGGGGGTTCTCGATTGTCCTTTGCAGATGACATTGAGGATGGAATTGAAGAGGAAGATGGTGAAAATAGTAAGAACTTGACTGTCACTAAAGTTTATTGTATGGAACTTTGTAGATTGATTTGGCATTTCTTTCACCATTTTATGTGACATATTCTCCCCTGATGAACATTAGGCGTAGATCTAGACTGATATTTGTTGCAACTTGCATGTATAGTAGTGTCCATTCTAATTTTTTGACGGGAGGCTATATTTAGATACTTGATGTTTTAGTGGTCACTTGAGATTATTCTCATCTAGTGTTTTTTGTGGATGCCCACTAGAAACTTAATGCTGATTCTTGTTCTACAGAAAGCACAGAGGCTACAAGATTACGGTGCAGGTAGACTTGGGAAAGATCCTACAGTGGAGACCAGCTTTCTGCCAGATAGGTGTAACATTTTTCTCTTTCTTGCTCTTATGCACAAACATTTTTATCCCTCCCTCTTATTTGATTCTGTTTCAGTCTAACATTTGAACTTAAGAGGTGCTATGGATTTATTTCAGTGAGCGGGAGGCAGAGGAACAAGCTGAGCGTGAAAGGTTGCGGAAGCAGTGGCAGACTGAGCAGGACAATATACGAAGTAATTTTGCTATCCTAATTTTCCCTGTATTTACGTCCTTTGCCAATAATAAGTTAGGTGTGAAAGAAACTTTTACGGTGTTTTTTCAGAGGAGGCACTTCAAATTACTTACAGCTATTGGGATGGAACTGGGCATAGGAGAGTGCTCAAGGCAAGTAAAGCATGCTCAACTTGCATTTGTTTTCCCTTCATGATTTCTCTTTTAAAATTGAAACTATCGTTTTTTCGTTCTTTTTCATATTCTCTTTGTTTCCATTCAGGTAACGAAAGGTGATAAAATAGGAGATTTCCTTAAGGCTGTTCAACAGCAACTTGCACCTGAGTTTCGAGAGGTGCGAACCACCTCAGTGGAGAATTTGCTCTATGTAAAAGAAGATCTTATCATTCCACATGTAAGAAAAAATTGTTAGTGATGCATTTTCTTGGTAGAAGCTTTACTGAATAAATGCTAATTAATTTCTCATCACTTGTGTCATGGTTGTGGAAGTGCAGCAGCATAGTTTCTATGAGCTAATTGTAAACAAGGCTCGGGGAAAAAGTGGACCGGTAATGTTCAATATATCTTATTATTCTTCTTCCATCATTTGGAAATATTGTATTAAGGTTTAGGTTTGTCTGAAATTTTATTGTAGGATGTGCTCATTGATGGTGACTCATTACGATTTTCTGTTGTATTTTGCATAGCTTTTTCATTTTGATGTGCATGAGGATGTGCGAACAATTGCTGATGCTACAATAGAGAAGGATGAGGTACATTCTCATTTCTTTTTTAGTAATACTCTATTGCATAGAAAGTTTCCAAGACTAAAGAAATGTAAGACAACCATAACTATGTTAATTGCATGGCTTGACTATGCTTGGTTATACTTTTCAGGTATCTATTTCTGGTAATGACATGTCTCTCTTCGTATTCTTATATCTTTGCTTTTATTTTTGTGGCAGTCTCATGCTGGGAAGGTTGTTGAGAGGCATTGGTATGAGAAGAACAAGCATATTTTCCCTGCTTCCAGATGGGAGGTACCCTCTCTTTTCGACTCCCTCTCTCACTCTCTCTTCGTATATGTGTGTTATAGATAGTATCTATGTCTGGTAGATGTCTACAACGAAGTGTCCCTTCGCCTTTTCGCTCCAGACAGGCTTGATAGTGTGGTATACTGCTTGCCATTCTATAAATTGCATCTCTCGAGTTAACTACAGTGCTTGAGTATCAAATTTATGTGTATGTAGACTACATACACAGAAATTGCATACTCAAAAGCACTATAGTTAATGTAGTGCGACCAATATGACTATTGTTGACAAATTTAATTTTTACGTGGGATAACATATTGTGTGCACCAGCACGGGCGGTAAATAAGTTTGATTATAGGAGTGCGGTTCAAATCCCTAACCTCTCTCTTTCGGTGGGATGATTGCCTACCGTCTTTGCTACTTCATCTGAGTATATAAGACATGTTTAATATATTTGAGTAGTTAACATCAAACATAGAGTTGCAGATGAGGCTTCATGATTCTTTCTTCTTTTATAGCAATATGGGATGCTCACTTTTTGGTTTTGAGTAACAATATATCCACCTTAAAAGCGTATAGACCTACTATGCCTTGAATGTTTTCCGATTCTTTGATTGAAATAGCAGATAGTTCCTTCAAAGTTTGCATCGTTTCTCTCATAATGTTCCAATATCGATATTCTGTGTTTTTAGTTCCCTGATGTTTCTATTTACAGAGATACTCTACACCTTTGGGTATTTGTGTATGATTCTGCAGCATTCTTTTCAGTCACCCGTTTTGTCTTTTTTTTTTCTTTCTTCTTTTTTCTGGCAGATATATGATCCAACGAAGAAATGGGAGCGTTATACCATCCACGGGGACTGATTCATCATCACAATTCACAAACATGGGAGACTGAACGCAGTTGCGAGTTGTTCCCTCGTAAGCTGCACAACAATTTTAGTTTGAGGTTTGAGGTTCAGTTACTGCAGTTACTCTTTTTTTTTTTCCCTTTCACTTAGTGATCAAAGTAGAGGTCAGGCAACGCAACGGTTTTAGCAGATTGTATACCTTAATTGGAAGTGTAACGAAATCTGTTACGAGCATTATGAGCATCGTTCATTTGCAATTTAATTTCGATTAGCTTCTTTTGGTCATGCAATTTCTATTAGGTTCTCCTCTGAAGATGTCTCAGATGGCATATGTTGTGCATATGCTTTTATAAATGGTACGTTCATAAATAAATACTTAGATTTAGGTAATCTAATACAATAGTTGGCTCTAATTTTACAACTTATTCGAATTATAAGCGCAAAACCGAGAGCGCATTGGCATTATAGTATTTATTTATCCAACCTCATTCAGTGAATAAGATTTTGTTGTTGTTTGTTGTCTAATTATGAGAGTCGTGCTTAAATCAAACTCGTTTTATTTTGGAAAAAGATACGAGCTGCTTATGAACTTTATGAGCCGACTAGCTTGTTTTTTTTTACATCAATATTGGAGAAAAGAATTTGGTCAAAAGCTACCAATCAACTAGTTATATTAAGGTATCGAACTCATTATCTATGAGTGAAAACTGTGAACTTATTAGTTCAGATAATTTTCTTTTATGGAGCCTACTATTTTGTTTAAGTGCCTCGCATCTAATTTACAAGGAGTCTACTACCATTTTTCCAATAAAAAATATCAAGAGGGAATTCAAACTCAGAATCTCGTTTACAAGCACGAATGAACTTAATCAACTAAGCAACTTCGAACCGTTGACTTACAGCTCAAGAAAAGAAAAGAGTTTGACACGAAGCCTCGGATAAAAACGTAAATGCTCTTAATCAAGTGAGCTATACAAGTGCAAACGCTTTTAATCAAGTAATCTACAAGTTAACACCGAATCATTTTTTGGCATATTCCTTCTACATATTGTTTGGCTGTTGAGGGTTTTTGTCGATTCTCCATTTCCTTGTTGCTTCGTGCCCACTTTTGTTACAGCACCCAGTACACCTGATCTCTGCCCTCCCTCTGCCGCAGCAACTCTCCAAAATGAGGTTCTCCTTCTCTCTCCTCCCTCAATCTCTCTCTCTCTCTCTCTCTCTCTCTCTCTCTCTCTCGATTTAACTTTTTGTTTTTTGTAGTGGGACCAGTCGGCACCCGGAGGTTCTGTGGGCGCAGCGCTCCGACAAGGTGTACCTGACGGTGGCGCTACCGGATGCCAAAGACATCACCGTCAAGTGCGAGCCTGAGGGATTCTTCAGCTTCTCCGCCGTGGGAGTCCAAGGCGAGCCCTTTCACTTCACTCTCGAGCTGTACGGTCCAATAACCCCTGATGGCTGCAAAACCAGAACTGGGTTGCGGAACATTCTCTGCTCGATCCAGAAGGAGCAGAGAGGTTGGTGGAAGCGGTTGCTGAAGACGGAAGAGAAGCCGGCGCCCTACATTAAAGTTGATTGGAACAAATGGTGCGATGAGGACGAGGAAGGTGAGACTTGTGACTTGTTTTTCTTTGTCAAGTTTCGATTATCGTCAATTGGGTTGTTTTTGTTTTAGCTGTTTGGTTTGTTATTGGTTTATTTTTCGAATTTTAATCATGTTTTGATTGATAGGGTGTGTCTGATTATGATTTGTCCAACTAGATTGTGAGATTGAGGTGAATAGTGAACCTAAGATGAACTTTCGTATGGATCACATTTCAATTTTCATTAAATCGGTTGCCTTTATTTTAGCTGTTTGATTCTGTTATCGGTTTATTTTTCAAAATTTTCTGATGTTTTGATAGATGGGGTTTGTCTGATTATGGTTTTGTCCAACTAGTTTGTGAGATTGAGGTGAACAGTGAACCCAAGATGAACTTTGTATAGATTGCCTTTCGATTTTCTTTAAATGGTTGCATTTATTTTAGCTGTTTGATTCTGTTATCGGTTTATTTTTCAAAATTTTGTGATGTTTTGGTTGATGGGGTTTGTCTGATTATGATTTTGTCTAACCAATTTGTGATTTTGAGGTGAATAGTGAAACCGAAATGAATTTTTGGATAGGAATGTGAAAATGAGCATGAGGTGGCACAAAGTTCATAGCTTGTGTGTTTTGAAACTATCTGCAATATATGAGTACATGTAAAGGCCCTACTTTGGCAAGTAGAATCATATATCTTGCCTTTCTCGTTGATGTGCTTGGCATTGTTTGTCTGAGTGGTGAATGATTGAAAGGAGAAAGCAGGACTATCTGGTGATTTGATTGCCTCACTGTAGTGTGTACATAATGCTGGTTTCTAATTGCTCTAGCACATTAGATTGATTCTCTTTGTGTGTATTTGTTGTTTACTATAAAGTTGTTGATATGGTGAAAAAAAAATGTTCCCCGCTGTGTTATCGTTACCTAGTTTTTATCTACCTCCAGTTTTTGCACAATCTTTCTGGAAATGCAATTATATGAGGGCTTTAGCGGCTTAGGCTAATCCATAGAAATGATATGGCATCCCTGGTCTTTTCATACCGTTATTGTTAATATGAAATGCCATGATGGGTCAGGGGAATGCCAATTGGGCGTGATTGCCGTTTTTAATTTGACACAATTTTTAGTATCATGTGCCTGCAAATTGAATATAGTTCTTGAGAGAGATTTTCCATGGATCTGACTCAACATTTGTGTTGTCTTTTGCAGCTGATTTGGCCCCCGATGATGATGATGATGATACGGTAAATATGACACCTTATATCAGTTAGAATAATGGATTAACTTCACCTAATCAGGTAAAATGGATTTTTTGTATTTTTGCAGTATGTTGGTCAAGATGGTGGAAGCAGTGACGATGACGGAATGCTCTGTAAGTGTATTTTTCCTCTTGCTCCGTTGGTGATATTAGTTTCAGTTAATTTTATAGAAGTATGTGCATTTGGTAATTTTTGCTGCTTAGTCCTTACAAAGAGTTCCGCAAAGTTCCTTTTAAGGAACTAAATGCGGCGGCTTAAACAGCAAGCGAGTGGCAGCATCCTCTGTTTGCCAAACTCACTTGATAAACTATACGCATAGCGAGGCACATAAACTGTCAAAGTTGTTTTTTTCTATTAAACCAAATTTGTAGACTCTCAGTACATTCAACATTTCTCCTTATTGTGTTAAAGTTTGTTTGCTGTCCAAGTCCTAAAAATATAAATGTGTCTCTGCATTTTAAGACATTTTGTAATCGAATGTGTAGTATAGAACGGTTTTTCTATTTAAAAACTACAAGTTCTTCTCTGTTATTATCGAGTTACCTTCTGTCGTCAATTTGTCCTTGAAAAAGAAGAAACCCTAGCGATGCCATTTAGGACTTTGCGGTTTCAGTCAGTTGTTGAACGAATTAGAGTGAGTCATATGAAGTCTGTTGGAAATGTTAAAAGTGCTGCACCTGCATCTCTTTCTGACGGTTCTTTAACACCCGGTTTTGGCTTGTTTACAGATCTTCCGGACCTGGAGAAGGCGAGAAAGTAGGAAAACGGCGATGAAGTAGTGAGTAGCAAGCAACGATATGGGATGGACAGCAAGGGGCTCTTATTAGGTAGATTAGAATAGTAGACGGAAAGTTTGTTAAACTTGATGGAAGGCGAAATACTTTGACATGACAGATCCTTTGTAACTATTTGATCATATCCTCCTCATGCTCTAAACTTAGTATTATCTTTGGTTCTAACTCCATGGTTTCAAATTAATGTGACCTTAGCCCTCGTTCAGCCAGTCCGGGCTATAAACGAGCCGAGCCAAATTCAACGAGTCTCTAGCCATTAAAATTAACTCCGTTGCCATGGATTTATAGACGCAATTCGAGTTTCATTAAGTGATTTTTAACAAAGATGATCTTTATAGAATAATTTACTATGATTTGGTCACGAAAATTTTTGAGTTCACTCCGTCATTGAATAGCCGAGTACTGTTCAATAACCTTCAATAACACATAGGAGTTGCAAAACCAATGGAACGATGAGAGCAAAGAGAAACTCGGTGTATTAATCCATCAACTTATCGATGGATTAATCCCCGAACTTGTAACAACAGGAGACGTAATGATCACTTTAATTAACTTCATTAGAAATTTTGTCGCTTATTATCGCATTTAAACCCTTTATTTAGATGAAAGTTCAAAGATCAATACTCATGACTTTTTAGTACAGTTTGATCAGAATTCAAGAACCGATGCTCCAATATCTCAAAACAAATGGTGTAACGAAGGCCAGGAAGATTCCATCTCACTGAATCGAGGCGGGCATAACAAACTCCATTATTATTACATTACAAGTTTTGCTGTAAAGGAAGTATGACAGTAACACCGCTCGTTTACAATCTATAGCTCTTAACGATGATATTTATTTACACATGGCCACACATGCAAGCTACCCTTCTTCTGGATCCATTTACTGCAGCATCGAAAAGAAACCGGAGAAACCATGACAAACCGGAATCATAAGTGCAACGTAAACTATTTCGGGCAGTTGGCAGTCGGAAGCAGCCGTATCTAGCTAGTCTGCCTTGGACTGTTGAGTCTCGACAACACGAACAGGAATGACTGGAATTGAATCCCACCATTCTCTTAGTCGTCTGCTGCTTTGGTTCTCCCCCTTGCCCATACCTAGTCTCGACGCCAATGTCGATGAGAAGCAACAAACTATGGCTGCCATTATAACAAACTTCACCGGAACCACCGTAAAAAATATTGCCGTCGCACTCAACAACACCATCGCCACATTTGCATGCTGCAACAACAATTAAACTTTGTTAGTTGGATTGATGCAATTAACACAAGTTATCAATCTCTTACATGCATGAGAAAAGTCGGCGTAACATAAGCATTGCGACATTTGAGCCTCTGAATTTAGAATATCTTTCGACTCTTGCTACTACTATTACGCATGCGTATAGATCTGGAAATTCATAGTGAATTGTAGAAGTGAACATATAGCTTGCCTGCATACATAAATAGGAGTTTTAACAAAAAGCCCGTGGCACTGTTCACTTTAACGAAAAACCATATTTTTACACTAAAAAGTCAAACCTGGTACTATTCACTTTACCCTTTATTTTGTCCTTATCGTTAAAACTCAAAGTTTTCAAGTCATTTTTCATTAGTTTTCCTTATATAAATACCTTGCGTGCCTTCGAAATATATATGGACCACAACTTCAATATCGAAACATTTGCTATCTGCATCATCTCATGCACAGTTTGCATTCCACGTTGAGCAGACACTATGCTTTCTATTGTACTCTGGTCCGAGGCGGTGCACACGACTATCTCATTGCATTTTATATCAAGTCTTTGCAGCCTGGCTCTAACCATCTTCGCAACCAGCCAAATGAATAAAGCGGCTAGTGCTACGCCAACCCACTCCCTGCATATCAAGAAGTTATTCTTCACAAAATCCCATTCACCAACTTGGAATTTTATTAAAGCTTACGCAGCACTGCAGCTAGCTAGAGAAACGACATACTGGTAGGTGACTATTAAAGTCGCAGCAACCACAGTGAGAGTAGTTGACAGTCTTTCCCACATGAGTACTTCTTCAAACCAAGGCACTGAATTCCGAAGGGGCCTTAGTAGCTCCTACACAATAAAACGAAGTCAGATTGATACGTGGATGTATGCGAAGGTACATGTTAGACGGAATATTAAGTATAATATAAACTAAGATATTTTTCGCCATTTGGATTGATCGATCATGGAAATTTCTCTAGAGTGATATGGAGGGGGTTAGATACTTGCCAAAAAGATAGTAGCGCTTTCACTGATTCCCTCTTCTTTACGTTCCTTCGTGGTAGCTTTGGCAATAGCAATATCCTTTTCTTCCACTCTTGCTTGATTAATTGCTGTTTCTAATAAGGAACTGTTTTCGACTTGACCGCTTGGAGTTGGGGTTGCATTTTCGCTGCTGCCAACTTTCATCTCTTGGTCTAAACCTGAGATGATCATCGACTCTGACAAGTTCATGCTCCTTAGGATGGAACTAGCACTACATGGATGCCCGCTATTGCTCTTCTTAAGACTCTCTGCAAGCTCTTCCAGTACATAATCTCCCTTCGGTATCTCATCGAACAAAGAAAAAATTAAGAATCTTGTTGGTGGAGGGGGTGATATTCTTAGCATTTCTCTTGCTGCATGGAGCCTTGTTATTGCTAGGATTGTCCTTGAATGCATCTCCCATGCTTGTATCGGACAGCTTATTTTATACTTCGCTAGGAAACGATGCATCAACATAATCTCCTTTGAGAGCGCAAGCCAAAGGTCACGCCTTGTAGAGCTTGTTACCTCGGGGAACTCCAGGACAATCTCCTCTGATCTAGAAATTTGGTGAAACAAATCATTAATCTATAACAACAATATAAGATTTTAACAAACTTCGTGTAGTTGTGTTTCTGTTTGGTCGATGTGGCATCCACACAGCGTCACAAGGAGCACTAGAAACCCTAGCGAAGATTTTGGTTTTTCAGTGTGTCAAATACTAGTTTCTAAACACTCGACACATAGATTGATTAGCTATTTGGTGCTTTGGGTTAGACTAAAAAATGAATGCAAGATTTCGGATAAATACTTAAATTCATAAATGCAGAGCATATGCCCTCACAATTCAGGAGAATCGTAAATTATAGCCTTGTCAAAAAGTGGAGCACCCCATGGCCCTGTTGAAGCTGGTTTCACCGTTTGCTCCATATCCTTCGAAAGGTCTATTTTAAGAGCGTCTTCATATGTTAATACTCCAGAAGCCTCGAAATAGAGTGCGTAATTCGTTAGTGTAAGCCTACCTGAAATACCAATGCAGGATTAGCCATATCAAATCGATTACTTAATTATATATGGGGAAAAAGAAACTATATATAGGACATGAGATGATCAAAGTTCTTTTTTCTAAACAAACCAGGCCAACTTGTTCCTCCAATGTGGCGCACTACTCGCTGTGTGCTAGCAGTTCCCTCGACGTGTAAAATGAATTCGTCGTCTGCAAGCTCCACACCCTTCGGTTTTGCATGTTTTGCCAAATATTTTATACATCTATAAAATACAAAAAGGGAAAAGTTGAAACAATCTTAAAGAAACTTCAAATGCAAGCATTCTTTATAAGTTACACAACCATTTATACTGTCTACTCCCCTAAATGTATTTACCAAAATTAATTACTCTTTGCATGTTATTATTTCAAAGAAAAAGGTTCAACTAAGGTATAACGAGTGTCTCCAACAGCATTAGCTGCTTATTGGGTATGCGTCGACACATCATACAAATGAAATATACGGTTATAGATGCATCACCTATCAATTTCCTTTAAATATTTGTCATAGGAAGGAAAATGGAGCCGGTTGCCCGTAGGCACCGTTAAAGTTTCAAAGGTAAATCTCCCATTAACAACATCTGTAACTAGTGGAACCAGCGACCCCATCCAAACAAATGCATCTTCTCCAACATTTTTCTCATTATCAACCTGCCAGACAGTAGGTGAAAAATGAATAGAAAACATAATAACGAGGAACAAAAGATAAGGTTCAAGCAACGACCATTACTTTAACCTAGAGCTTAGTTTAGTCCAACTTTCCATCTCTCTATGTATCTCGAAAAAAAATTACAAAAAACGAAATTAAATCTTAAGAAATGATATAGCTTACAAGAAGTGGCAGAAGGTCTGAATAGAACAGAGAGATGTCATCTTGTTCTGAAAGACATTTTTGCGGCAATTTTTTCTCTTCTTTCTCCTTCGCCACACACTCCTGCAAACCCCCAAAAACATGACATTTGAACAATAACAAAAGAAAAAACAAAGGGCGATCTCAAGCCAACAAGGCTCCCACTTTGCAGGGGTTGGCAGAGGAACATCTATCGTACACAGTCTTACCTTGCTTGCAAAGAGTAAGGATAAGGCTGCGTACATGTGTTTCCTTGCATACAAATATAAATATATCAATGCATCATAATAGTTCAATCCATATTGTAAATATGGTGGAGAAATCATATGTAATTTATATATGTTTCAATGTATTATATAGAAATAGTCCTGATTGTGAAGTTGTTATAACAAACTAACTAATTACAAACATAATCATACGACTATTTTTTTCACTTCAATAAAAAACAACCATCTAGTGGTATTCCTATCCACCTCTGTGTGAGAGTTTAGGTGTTTTAAGGTTCGACTTCCATGAATGATGAATTCTTCGATACCAAAATTTTTTCACTTCAACATCATCATGAAGCTTAGCCAAATCCCCGTTAGTATCAACAGAAACAATCAAATTACAAACATATTTAATTACCGTAAAAGATTCCTCGTCAGCACAGGTAGGCATCTCCCAACCGAGCATCATGTCGAAGGTGAAGCGGCTAAAAGAGCCATTGGCAATCTTTTCCTCAATGGTTTTGCACATGTCACAATTCTGCATAACCTTGGCACTGCAAAATTCTACGAATTTCCTCCCATAACTATTACTATTGTTGTTATTGTTACTACTGATAGTAGCAGCACCAACCGGCGCCGTTTCATCCGTCTTCCATGTAGTTTCAAATTCCTCCACCAATTTGTCCACCGGGGTATCCAGTTTCCTGAACGTAATATAATTATATAAGGGTATATAATAGGATTTAATAAACAAACATGCATATACACATGAAGACGTGGGCGTAGCCTCATTGGTTGGCTACAGCGGAAGTGCTCTCCTGTGCACCCTACTTCGAATCTCCCTCGACATGCGGTTTATAGTAGTTTAAAGCAGAACAACGATTCGTATATAAAAGAACTCATATATGTTATATATATAGTCAACATCGATTTGAAAAATTCAACAAATACGAAGAAGAACAATATTTAAAGGTGCAAAATATTATATATGTATGAATTGCATGTCATATATGATGGACTTACAAAGCGCATTTTTGTACAACGTCGTTTGCAATGGAGGAGAGTTGCTTCAACCTCATTGTGGACAGTATTGTATTGTTGCAGAACTGCAGAGAAATTAGAGCAGAAGATTGCTTGGTTTTTAATAGGGAGGGAGGACGGAGGAGGGAGAAGTTGAAGGAGAGGCAGAGGCTGAGATGTGTTTCTTCATGGAGCTGCCACGTTTGGGTGGCCATGCAGCATTTGCTATTCCACCTGTTGCACGTACCTCGTTTCTCTGAGGCCGACTTGGGCTGTCTTTTCTTAACCTTCTGGGTCGAGTTCGGCTGAATTATCCGGAATTAGAAACCAACCGAACATAGCTGATCTCACACTCTTGGCCCTATTCAAATTCAATTATATTGCTAACTAGTTGGTAATTAAGGTATTAACAAGTTAATAAAGTGAGTTGGTAAGTCGACTTGATTGTGGCTACAGATAAGGTAAAATTCCTCCAAAGCCTCTTCAGGTCCAAAAAAAAAGGATAACTGTGGCTTGCCACAAATTGTCCCCTTTTTGCAGAAAAAAAAAGAAGTTAATAAGGTACTAACTATTCATTTGTGCCTACTTCATAATGTATCATTGGTGTTGTTTGTCTTTAGGTTTTCATTTAAAGATTATTTTTGTGAAATTTCAATTGGACAAAAAGTGTTTAGTTATTTAAGTCTGATCAAAATAAACACATATAAACACAATATTTTCGATAAATGATAAATATTGATAAACAAATTGAGTGAGCTTGCTTTATTAGGAATATCCTCCAATAAGATTAACAAGTAAATGGTTAATACATTGTGGAATGAGCCAAAATGAATAGTTAATCACGTATTAAGTCACCAAATTAAAGAGAGTAATGCTATGAAGATTAAATTTACAAATTAAATTATGTGTCATCAATAGGAAATGAGCACGGTTATTGATGTTTAAGTAATAATTCAATCATCAACTTTCATATCATTTAGTTTACAAAATTTAGTCTATAAATAAGTGTTGATAATCTCACTCCATTGTCATATTTTCCCACCCATATTTTAATAAAAATCTCAAAAGTATTAATAACATGTTTATAATTTTATAAAAAGACTTTTAACCCCCTACCCCATTACTTCCCCATCGTCTCTCTCTGCCCCCGTTTCTTTATTCTGTTTCATCTCTCTTTTCTCGGCTTCTGCACCGACCACCACGGTCGGAAGCACGAAGGATCAGGAGGAGCATATCAAAGTTGTGGTGGTGGAGGAAGGGCAAGAGGAATGCTCCTTTCCTCTGGGGCAAGTCACTTCTCGTTTGGGGCTTAAATTTCAATTTCCATTGAATTTGAATGGTTGTGGAGATTGAGAGTGTCATCATGACGGTAATTAACTTTTTAGTTAGTTTTTTTTTTAATTACCCCGAACTTCATTGCTTGATAGTTGCTACAAGTGCAAGTGAATTGTTGTCATAGTACAAAATCTAGAGATACATAGCTTGTGGACAAGATTGAGAAAATGGTATTGGATTATGGGATTTTGGGTTGGCTAATTGACGCGTTTTGCTGCTAAAGGAAGTTCCAGGGGAGACCAGCAGTGGAAACAAGATAATGATGTTGTGGTGCTGGTGTTGTGATAAAGGTTATTTTTGGAATAATAGAGGGTGGGAAAACAAGATTTTAATTTTTTTAATTTTTATAGTGGGTGAGATTATAATGAGGTGGAGAAATAAGACAATGAGATGAGTCTAGTAACACTCTTACAAATTTAACCTCTCTAACATTGCTCAGTTAAAAACTAGTTGAAACTTTGAATCTCTAGTCAACGCTAGGAAAAAAAATCTCGCCAACTCAATGGTAGATGTGAAGAGTGAATTAAATTGTGCACACTTTTTTCTCTTGATCGCAATATATTTATTTTAGTCTTAAAATTAAATAAATAAATCAAAAATCAAAAAACAAACAAAAGAAGACAAAATGTGTTGAGATTACTTCCATTTTTATGTTTTAATCTTAATTTTTGTTAGGAATTGTTTTGATCTAAATTTTAATAAATAAGTAAAATATGCAGAAAAGGAAAATTATTTCTTTATTGAGAAAATTGTAACAATGACTCCTTAATTTTAATTCAATTAGAGAGTTAGTTTCTCAACTAAAAATGACTCCTTAATTTTAATTCAATTAGAGTTTGTCAACTCTATCAAAACTTCTGTCAAAATGAGTCATGGTAGAACGATCATTACATTAAAGTTGAGGTATCATTTCTCTATTTGGGTTAAAATAATATTGCTAACTATGGGTTAAAGTTCAAGAACCACTGCTACAATTTTCTCATTTTAATTTTTCATATTTGTCCTTTAATTCAACCTTGCGTACGACTTTTTTGACTAAAGTTCTAAAGGTGTTGATGAAAACGACGTAGTGGGAAAATTTTTAGGTGTACCGGGTACACCAAAAAAATTTGGTGTACCCTCACTCATTAGAATTTTTTTGGTGTACAAAAAGTGAGGGTGCACCAAATTTTTTTGGTGTACCCTCACCATTATGAGTGAGGGTACACCAAATTTTTTTGGTGTACCGGGTACACCGAAAAATCACTCGACGTAGTGGCACAGTTTAATGAATTAACCGATCAATTGCTACGCTTTCCTCGTATTCTATTTCTCGCTTGCTAAGCAATCATGTAAGCTTACCTTCAACCTACAATCATAAAGTCGGAAACAAAAAGCTCCGAGCTTTGAATTACTAGCTCCTGTGGATTCCCAAATCGGAGCCCTCAATTCAATGATGAAGGTCTCCGATTCCTCCTCCCTGATTCGCCTTAACATCGGTCAGCTCCCTCTCTCTCTCTTGCAAGTTGCAATCCAATCCAATTTAATTTGAATTTTCTGTTTCTTACAGCATAAATTTTTTTGTTGAATCGATTCGATCGCGCTCGAATGGAAATTGAAACCCTAATTTTTCATTTTCTCAGAAAAGCCAAGCTATATAAGTAACCAATTGAATGTTTTGGCGGGCAATTACTGCAATCTGTGTGTTTGTGCATGTGTGACTGATTGGAGTTGTCAAAAATTCAAAATTGGGGTTTTAACTTATAAGCCTTGATAAGATTACACTTTAGAGAAAAACCACTTCAAACCCATAACTTCAGATTAAGAGTATGAAAAGTGGATAAATGAAGAGTCTTTCTTCTCCAATTGAGCTCTTCAAGTGGTTTTGTTTAAAACTTAAAGTGATGGTGTAGTTTAATAGAGCTTGAGGTTAGCTACATAATTTGGATACATTCCTTGTCTGTTAACAGGAGGAAAGAAATTTTGTACTACTATTGATACTTTGACTCATCGTGAGCCCGATTCGATGCTTGCTGCAATGTTCAGTGGTCGCCATAGTCTATGTCAAGAAGCCGAAAAGGTATAAACTTCTGCCTTTGAGACACATTTTAAACAGGTTTCCATTGTGACTATTGATTTCCCCACTACAACCTCACCAGATGTTAGATAATTATTTATGTACTTGAATGATCATGTTTGAGTAGGCTGAAATGGCGCTTAGTGGAGACATAGGGAGAACCATCTATGATGGCCTCCGCATGTTCAACAAAGACCAATAGGTGTGCTGGTTAGGAAGTGACTTAATCAAAACAGAGGGTAGTGCTACGAAAGGAGATGGCAAGGAAGTAATTAGGAAAAATACAGTACTGTGTGATTTGTATGAAAGTATGATCCATATAGGATCAAATGAAGGGTTGGGATTCAAGTAACAATCCCAAATAGTTGGACATGAATCATATTTTTATTTATTTATTGTTATGTAATTATGAATGAAAACATTATTTTCAGTTTGCATAATGATAATCTGCTCCCGGGCTTTTTTTTTCTTTATAGGGATATGTTTTTCTTGATAGGGATGGCAAACATTTTCGGCACATCCTTAACTGGTTGAGGGATGGCGTTGTTCCCACATTAAATGATTCGGAATATTCAGAACTGCTTAGGGAGGCTGAATACTATCAACTTCTAGTAAGTGTGGGTTTTACATTTTATATTCATTTACTCTTATTTATTAACGTCATCAATGGGCTGCACTCTAGTTCATATTGTGTACTTGTTTACTCAAATAGTGAATTTTTGTTCCGTAATTTAAACTGATGGAAGGTTCAAATCGAATGTATTGAAGAGGATTAAAGGACAAAAATTAATAGGGGATGTGTGGGAGGTAAAAAAGGGTGCATAGATAGCACCACCGCATTAAAATTACATTCTTATGTACATGTACAATATATGGACTAATATTCTTTTTTTTTTAGACAATCTGCAACATAGGAATCTTAATTTCCAAACTGTGAATCTGGACCACATATTCAAGCAGTGATCAAAGTAGTTCATGTTTCAGATCACAATCTAATAACATAAACTGATTATATTCCAGAATGTCGAAAGACTCAAAACAAGTCCCTAGAGATAAAGTATTTGCTTTGTAACTATACAACTCAGATGTAACATTTTTGTATATCTCTAACTATGTTGAAGTAGTGGAGTTTATACATGTGCTGAGATTCATTCATCAATCTACTAATGAATTTACATGTCAAACATATCTCCATTTTTATCCGCTTTCATTTCTCCCATCACAATGAATACTGCCTCTTTTCATTTAACAGTCAGATTGTTCAACAATGTTGTGAATTTCTGAAACAATTTTCAGGGTCTGATAGATGGAATACATGCTGTTCTAAATAAGAAGAGGGAGGATGAAGAGGTAGATACAGAACTAACACGTACTGATATCATCAAGTGCATACAGTCTGAGAAAGTGCGTTTTCGAGGTGTCAATCTTTCTGGCCTTGACCTTTCCAAATTGGTAATTTCTCAGGTTCTCAGTTCTGAAAAAAGTAAACATAGTACTAGATATGTGCCTTGTAAAATTCGGTTTCTAAAAATTTGAAAAAGTACACTACAATAAGCTAATATCCGTTTAGAACATCTAGTTTCAGAAGTACAGGCACATAATGAAGCCCCGAAGAGATCTATACATTTGCATTTTCTCTGCAACGTCCTCACTGAACCTAGTGTACCAAGTTTTTTTACCAAAAAATATTTTGAATTTGTAAAACATCTATTACAATCTGTATTAAGAATCAAAATTTCCTATATCATGTTGAAACCAGTTGCTTACTGCTTACATAAAAGTAGGCATTGCTGGATTATTTATGAATTTAAATGAAAAGATGTTATGGATGGTAAAAGATGCATGATTATCCATCTATTTGATGCCTTGTCTCTGATGTCGATCCATGAAATTGCAGGACTTGTCATTAGTTGACTTCAGCTATGCATGTTTGAAAAATGTCTTTTTCTCACGTGCAAATCTTCAATGTGCTAAGTTCAAGGTAAGCTTTAGTTATACATGGTATGTCTGGTCTGCTAAAAACAACTGCTGTTTTTTTCTACATATTAAATGTTGTTAGAAAGTCTCACTGTATTTTTTGTCGGCGTATATAGTTTTCGTTTCTTTTTATAAGATCAGTACATGACTATTGAAGCTTTTATATTTTGTCACAGGATGTTGATGCTGAGGGTGCCATCTTTCACAATGCAACTTTGCAGGAGTATGAATTCTAAGAATTTCCAGTTAATGATGATATTATATTATTAATCGGTTGCTTGATTAATGCAATTATCTTTTGCCTAGGGAAGATGTGAATTTACTGGGGCAAATCTCCGTGGAGCTTTGTTGGCTGGTGCTAATCTTAAGAGCGCAAATCTACAAGGCAAACTTTTCTGCATTCTGGTTTCTAGTAATATTTTATTACTATGTTATTTGTTATTTCCGTAATCATGTTGCCTTAAATTCCTTGGCATACGTTTCTGTTCATTTAAACTTCAAATAATTTTTTAAAACCTTTTTAATATGGATTTAGCTTATGTGTCTCGTTTACCCAGAGTCAAGGCTGAATTTTCCTTGTAATCGTGTTCTGTCCCTTTTCAGATGCATGCTTGATAGATTCTAGCTTCTGCCAAGCAGACCTGCGTTCTGCACACCTACAGGTTCTGCATTGTCAATCAGAATATAGTTCACTTGTTTCTGAGTAGTTTGTCCTTTTTGGGTTTTCGAGAACATCCAATAATGAGATAGTAACTGTTTGTTTGAGATGCTCATATTACTTCGACTAATGAAGGCTTAGGATTTGGTGCTTACATAGTGAATGATGTATTATCTTATTGCTCTTAATTTTTCAGAATGCTGATCTTACAAATGCCAATCTAGAGGGAGCTAATCTGGAAGGAGCAAATTTGAAGGTAAAGTGGAGGTTGTGTGTCAAAAGAAAAAAACAACTTAGTCTAGTATGAATCTTATGTTTAAGAGATTAAAAGAACTCGTATAAATTCATTTTGAGAACATAATTATCCTGTTTGACTTCTAAAAAAGCTTATGAATTGCCATATTACATCTTTTTTCATAGCTCTAAATTTTCTGGGACACATCTTCACGGGCTTGCTAAAACATTGCAATAGAAGGGAATATATCTTGCTCTCCCTTTTTCGAGAAGAAAAGTACCATGAAAATAGTCTTCATTTTCTCCAATTACCGAACATTTGAGCCTTTTTCTAAGGCTTTGTTTGGTCTGAGATTATAGCGGGCAGGGGAAGGAAATGAAATATGTTATTTCATTCCTTCGTTTGTTTCACCTTAAGGGAAGCAAGATGATTTAGAAAGATCCCTAATAGTGAGGGTTGGATCACTTTGTGGTGAATTAGTGTTTCATGGTTAAATGAACATAATAAATGCTGGTAGTGGAACTCTAGTGTTGGTAGAGAACAGTATACGACCAACATGTTCATGATGTTAGATTTGGGGGCAAATCGAAGGTGTGTTTGAGAAAATGTACGAGGTGATTGTGCTAGTTAGTCATCGAAGACGAGTGGTGAAGGTATAATTAAAATAAACAATGTGAGATATCCCTCGAGTTGTTTTCTACTTTCGATCTGGTGAGATCTTACTTAGTAAAGTAAAAAATAACGCGACGGATATCTCACGTTCTTCTCATTTATGGGAAATCAAATGTAAAACCTATTTGGTTGGCTTATTTCTTATATTCTATTATGTGATTAAGAATGCCTTAAGTTAGACATGTGTCATAATCATATAGCTGGTATGCGAGGCTGTTTTGGAGAAACACCCCACGTTTACATGAAAAGAATTTTATAGAAAACAATCTGTAGTTCATCTTATATGACATTATCCATTATTGTTCAAAGAAATGAAATCGTAAATGAAAAAAAAATGTCTCCCTTTCCTCCCTTAATTTATTTGTTTGGTTTGTCTTTTTACATGCTAGGGTGCCAAGTTGAGTAATACCAATTTGAAGGATGCAAACCTTCAACGAGCTTATTTACGTCAAGTGAATCTTCGAGATACGGTAATGAAAGCTGATCAAAGTTCAAACCATTTTGTAACTTCTACTTTGGTTATTGGTTTGGTAAATTTCTCATTTTTGGCTTTTAGCGTTCGTTTTTTGTTAGAGACAGGGAGGATATATATGGGAGAAAGAGAGAAATAAAGAAGGGTGGTGGGAGGAGATTGAAGAAATCGGCTTGAAAATAAAAATAATTTTAAGTTGTTTTCGTTTCAAGTTTTTATTTCATTCATCCTCGATATTTCCCTCACCCCTCTCACCGCCTCTCTTCATCCATGTATTTCCTCTCCATCTCCAACTGAAAAAACGCAAATGAAAAGCTAAAAAAAAAAAAAAGAAAGAAAAGGTTACTGAGTGGGCCTAAGATGCTAAAACTAGACAATGAGTTTAGGATTTACTTTCCTCCCTTGAATTGAAGTTCGGATGAACGGTTTATGTGCATTATATGTACATCCAGTGTAGAAATTGCAGCATTGAGAACGTCCTTTCTGTTGGTAGGATAGTTGATAGGTGTGTCAACTGACAGCGTGCAATCGAGGATGTAACTCTAATTTTTATGTTTTGAACAGCATTTGGAAGGTGCAAGGCTTGATGGTGCAAATTTGCTTGGAGCAATCAGATGACATTGAATGATATTTATACTGTGGAGGTTTGAAATTCTGTTTGTGTATAATAACATATTTATTCGTCTTCCGTCTTCTTACATTTGCCAGATTTTAGAAAGTATTGTCCAATTTGTTTATCGGCGATGCCCTAGTAATCAAATCATGTGGTTTGTACATAAATCTTGCACCCAAATTCAATTCATGTGGTGATAGAATGTATTGGTAAATGTTCTCAAATCAAATTTTTACCTTCTTTACCCCTCCCATCTCCAATGCAAAGAAGGGAAATGATAACCATATACCCCTTTTCTCTTCCAATTTGACCATTTGCCTAATTCTCATTGTTCGAGCACCGCGGGAGAATCGGATGAGCCGAGAGAGAGAGAGCAACCCACTGAACTCTAAACCAGCACCTCAACACTGTCCGTGAGACCTTCGAGGTGTTGGATCAAACCGCACCTGGTACACTTGAGAAGGTGAGCTGGGAGGAGGCCATAAATATGGGTGATCAAGTCTCCGAACAAACTACCACGTTCGGGATGCTTTGGACCGAAGGAGAAACACCGGCAGTTAGAGCACTCGAAGAGAACATGGTTTCCTACTTCACCGTGCTGCAAGGTCTCGCTCTGCTTTCGCATGGGAGTAGGGTGGGTGCAGGACCTACCCTTTCCTCTTGTATACATGCATCTGTGAAGCGTGCTGTTGACACCAGTTGTAAGCTGTCAATCCCGCAATCGTTTGGTGCACATGATACGAATATTACAGCGATTGGGCAAGCAATGACGCAGGTTGCAGTTTCCATGGAAGATGTTGTGCGTGAGATGAATAAGCTTAACCCGACACCTTCCGAAGGCCAGGAAGACTCACAGACGCATTTCAACTTGTTTGAAGGTTTTAGTATTGTTGATTTTTAGGTGGGATCCACAGTGACGGATTCAAGAATTTTTTCTCGGGTGGGCGACGCATAAAAACTTGGTGTGATGTTCTTGCTTAGGTTTCCTTGTTGGTGGGTGGGTCTTAGTGATGGTGGCGCCGGAGGGATTTGAGAAAGGGAGTTTTATCATTACGAAATTCAAAATTTGGTTGAAATGAGACAAAAAGCACTTTTGATGAATGTGCTCTTGGAACTAACCACAAGGTGTGGTGCGATTGGCAAGTTGCCACCTTCAATTGGCGGATTCCCCGGTGCCATTTTGGCAGGGGTTTGAAACCAGCTGAGAGCACTTTGTGGCCAAAGGCAAGCCGAACCTCAAGCAAAGATTAGTCCCATCCTTGGGATGTGGGGACACTATGTGGTCTTTACCGAAAGAAAGAATGTGCTTTTGAAACTAATCTTTAGTAAAAATGCAAGTGAATCATGAAAAAGCACTTGGAGTGCTTTCTGCAAGAAGCACTTCGAAACGAACCATCATTAGGACTTCAACAAATGATGAAATAAAAATAATTTAACTATAACAGTATTACCAAAGAAAAATCAAAATCCAAAGTTATCTCAATGCAATTGCAATCCGTACCCTACTGACTACGGCAACGGCAACTGTCTCGTTTTGCAATGCAGGTTGAGTGAAGAAAACGGGAAAAACTGCAATTTCCAGTAAGTTAACGGAGACGAGGGCTACGTGCTCAAGCGCCACCATCACATGCTCTATTTTGCCTTCTTTGCAACGTTCGAGTTTCGCAACCTCTTTACTTGATTAGATGTCACGAACTCGGCATCGTCTCGGATAAAACTCCACCAAATATAAGTTAGGGGAATCGTGGTGGCATGCCAGGCGGCGTGAGCATCCAAGAATCCGTAATACGGAGGGAAGTCATAGATTTCTAGGAGCATTGCAAGGCCTCCTCCCACTACTACCACCCACAGCTTCCAACGTGATGGATGGCGAGTGACGCCAGCCCAAACTGCCCAAAGAAGAAGTTGAACCACCGCCATGACAACACAAACCTGCATGTTCCACCCTGCAAAGATTTTTTATTATCTCAGTCAGATTGTCGTCGTGAGATTGCTATGCACGTCAAGAAACTACATGTTAACAAAACTATTTGAAGACTAAAGGAGGTGCAATTGATCAATATTCTCTCTCCAACTATACGTCAATGACAAAAAAGTAGTAAACTGCCATACCGTAATCCAGTTTATAGAAGTTGAGGTACAATATGTGGGTGGTTACGAAAGCAAGCAGTGGAGCAGCAACCATGACTCTGACGGCATCATCTTTCACATCAAAACTTCTTAGTATGGACAGAATAAGTGAGTACCCAAGTATTGCCACTGCACATGAGTAGTCTAATTTCTCGGTCAAATCCACGTCCCTGTAGTCCATTAGACACATTGATGATCAAGAAATGTGCCAAGCAACCAAATTACCCCCCATTTTAGTAAGGATCACCAGATGAGGTAAATTCAATGCATAAGCAAACCGTATTTATCATTCGTCTTTCATCAATAACTAGTCTTTCCAGAAAGATTTAGGGAAAATTAAAATGTCACTTAAATAGCACAGTAACAACTTAACATACAAATCAACACTCAAAATTATTTTACAACCCATTCAAGCATGAGGAAATATCCAAGTCCCAATAATAAAAGGAAAATTGTGAGCTTGCATATGGGTGGCACAAGTTAGAGTAGAATAAAATGCTTACTTGCTATGGAACAGAGCACTCGCAAACCAGGAGGTCAATGATAAGAGAGCATAGATGTGCCATAAACTAGCAAAATAATAGTACGTCTTCTTATCCCGTCTCAGAGGCAAGTTGTAGTATAAAAGGATGAAAAAGGATATCCAACCATGAAAATGCGTTGCAAGGTTAAGCACAGAGAAAGCTACGGAAGCAGGCTCCTAAATAAAGGATAACATGTCAAATAGCACCAACCACAGAACTATGATACCATTAAAATATATTGTAAAAGAAAATGTTGCCAACGCATATAGTCCGAAAAAGGCAAACCTGGATCCCATAAACACGCTTGAAGGGCCATTTACCATGATATTTGACTGGACCGTTACCAGCTGCTTCTCTTTCTTTCTCTCTGTCAACCATACAATAGTAACGGCAATCACTTTGGCAATCCCATTGTTTCCACTGCTGATAAAGAGGTTCTCGCATGTACCATGGACGATCAACAGAGACCCCATCAGAAGAGAAATTGCAATTCGGAAAGCATCTCTGCCCTACACAACCGGTTTCTCCACATTCTTTTAGACAAGCCCTAAAGTTGCAAGTAATCATATATCAATTTCCAAATTCACAGTGTGAAATCCACATGACAAGTTACAAGTGTCGGCAAAATAACAAAATGTCAATTTTGCCAAAGAATTAATACACAAAGAACTTGTACAGCTTAGAAATAAACCAATTATTACAAATTAATTTCTAGTGAGGTACTTACCGAAAAGAATTCCAATTGTGTAATAAGGATTGATAAATAGTTTTACGGAAGCTATTTTACTCAAGGGATACTTATTATGTATTAATTCATCCAGTCAATAACTGATTGGTGAATTACCATATAGATATGCGAACACAAACATTTGAGGGAAAAGAAAGCTCCCTGTTCGAAATTCAAATGAGGAGCACTAATTGCTAATAATGGGGAGAACACCAATGTGGCCCTACTCACAGGAACAGTGTGGGCGACAACTGGCCCCTTCCATTAGAACTTCCAATGAAGACGGGCAATATAGCCATTCAGGATTCAGCTGAAATTTCAGTCATTTGGAAGATAAATGGCTGATTCAGGAAAGAACGTGTTCTGCATGCTAGATTAACATAGTAGGCTACATTGTGTTCTAAATGATGAATGACAAGAGGTGACAATACATAACTCTTAAACTTAAGAAATGCGAAAACCTCAAAAAACATACAAGCAGATGTGGCAAACGAGTAACAATAGGTACAAAGGCAGCATACCTCAAAATGAACTATAAAGGAATATCTAAAAAAAGATAAAAACAATTACCTATAGCGCGGATCAGCATCACCAGCACTGGCATCTAAAACTGTGAAGCTGACAGCCCATGACACCACCACAAAGAAAGCAACCCAATAATGCTTTAACATCTGAACATAGAATTACCGATTGATAAGAGTCTAAAGGTGTCAAATTTGACCACTACAAGGTGCTGAGATCTTAACTACTTCAATGCCTTTTCTGATATTCTTCGTTACAAAAACCAACCAAGGCAAGAATGAAAAAAAAAAAAGGAAATTTACTACTCTATACAGCGAAATGTCTGACCTTTCTGTTGGTGCCCATGTAGAATTAAACTTCTCTATTAGCTAATTGTATATGTAATTTATTAAAAACAACAGCTTTGTTTCAATGCCTTATTTATGGTCACGTCCACTAACAACATTTTTGTTCAAGTACACCATCCCATATAAATTCTAATGGAATGAAGCAACAAATTACAGTAGAGCAGGCCCGACTATATTCTAGATTAATCAATGTCGCTTTTGTCTTTCATAATTGTTTATCAAAGTTCCTCTCATAATTTGACTTCCAATTCATTATTCTGTATTTGTAAAGCAATTTGAAAATATACAAGGAAGAGAACATATTCAATTGTCACTAGAGTGCATGGAAATATCAGTAGACACGAAAAATCATGAGAGTAACCTCTGAGATTTAACTCTATAACCAACACACCTCTGAATGATAGAGGTGAAAAAGCCCCCAATCCCGAGCAATTCGACTATGTAAAATCCCACCTGCAGTACCAAAACAATAAAATCGAATCATCAATTCACTCTAAAGTTTGATGATTGGTCAAACTTTAACCGAAGCATATGTGATACTGGCTAGTTTGGGATTACTGTGCTTTTTTTCAAAACTATAATGCAAAAAGTGCTTTTAGCAAAAAAAACAGTGTGAGAATGTTTGGTAAACTTCTATATAAAACTGTTGTGACAGTATAAAATGACTAGTAAGCATATTAATCATTCATAGAAGAATGTCTAATTTATCAGCAAATCACACAGAAAACTCATCAATCATTCATAGAAAAATCACAGATTGCAAAAACACATACTAAAATCCATATCTTTATATATCCAATTTTTCAAAATAATAGAGAGGATGATGACTTGGCTTGCTGGTTCAGTTGATGTCAGTGTCACCGAAATCGTCCTCGAAGCAGGTGAAGAAATCGGCATCGGCTAGCTTGCCTTCACCCCGTCAGGGTCTCGCGGAACGCCTCGAGTGGGTTGACGAGACGTCCATGGCCATGGTTGAGCCCTGGTCTTCCATGCCGTTGAAGAAGTCCATCATCGTCGGCCTCAACACTCCGAAACCCAGATGACCAAGAAATCCAGATTACCCAGAATCGCAGATCACCCAGATTACCCAGAAATCTAAATCTTCCAATTCTACCTTCCAATTATTCAATTTCAATATTCCAACTATCCAGAAATAGAGGTTGAGAAAAGGAAATATACCTTTTTATTGGTGAAGAGTGCTCGAACAAGATGAGAGGGAGAGATCGAGCTCGAACGGAGAGAGAACAGGATAGTGGGAGCGGGCGAGAGACAACAGTGAAGGAGAGTTCTAGGAGAAAGATGCAAAAGGGTAGGTTTGAAAATTTGAAAGTTTCATTTAACGAACACTGTTCATCCGTGTTTTGGCGATAAAAAGCCGGTCTTGTGAAGCTTAATTTTGCTGCTTTTACGTTTTTTTCATCTAAAACTGTAAAAATAAGCTGCTTAAAAATGTTTTTTTCAGAATTTAAGCTTAAGCCAAATTGGTACCAAGTATACAATGCCTTTAAGTGACTCGGATTCACCCGTTTAATTCCTCGGAATTCTTTAGCAAACATCCAGTTGTTAAATTTAGCAATATATGCCATGTACACTGATGCAATCTAGAATTAACCATGAAATCAATGTGATATGTGATAGTATCTTCCAAGGGAACTCAGCTGGTGCAGATGGCGCTATGCACCTCGGTGCGGGTTTCATCCCCACCGATTCCCCACTCCTAACAACGAACTATTTAACCCACTAAATCGTTCTACTAAAAAAAACTCAGCTGATAAAACAAACGACGGAATCGAAAGCGATAGAGTTGAACAGATATTCAATACAGGATACAAGATCAACACTTTTCCATTGTTGTAACAAATTGAAAGATTCAATTTTTACGATTTTTATAGTCTGCAGAGTATGCAAATAAAAATGAACTTTTTGAAACTGGATAGGTTCAATTGGGTGCTGAGAAATCATTGACTGCAATGAGGGATCTGAATCGGAGTAGTTTGTAGGAGTATGATCGGAGAAGCCATGGATGCGTGCGTACCTGGAGGGGGCAGGATCGTGGGCAGCGGAAGAGCGATCAGCAGATCTGAATAGGAAGTGGGTTCGTCATCCTTCGTTAAAGCCGAGAGGGTCAGCAGCTCAGGTCAAGTGAAGAGGACGACGCTCGGTTGGCTTTTCAAACACAAGACAATTCAAACTCGAATATGGAGAAAATTCATACGATTCTAGCCAAAAGGCCGGTGGTTATCTTTTTTCCTCTTAACTAATATCGTTTGTTTAAAAAAAAAAAAAAATTTGAGTAATGTTGCCTCTTAGTACTCCGGTCTAGTGGTATTCATCTTTACTTGTAAGTAAAATTGTGAGGCTAAACTCATCCCTCCTCCTTAGTGTAGATAAATTGTTTGTTCAAAAAAAAAAAAAATGTTATGGCTAATGCTAGGGAGACTAAATTTTTAAACCAAATGATATAGTTGTTGATGATTATTACTTAAGTGTTTATTAACGTTCTTATTTTCTATTAGTGACACTTTATTTAATTTGCAAATTTAGTTTAAAAATTTAATCTATTTAGCATTACCCTTAAGTTATATATTTAAACAGGAGTCGTAAGATCTCGTCACGTTAATTATCTAACGACTTTTATTCATGTGCTAACAATAATGTGGTTCAAATTCGTCTTTGGTGAGGATTAAACTTAAAATCTCTTACTTACAAATAAAGAAGGAATACAACTAATTGTACTACTGAGTGACCATTCACGTGTAACTTAAATGTGCGCTTTTCATGTGCGTTAGAAGTTTGGAAGGTCATCTAGAATGAATTGGATACTTGTTTAATTACTCATTCCCTAGCCCATTCGTTGTTGAGGCCCAACTTACTTCACTCATTAGTTGGTTGTCTCGCGTGACATTCACGTGATTCTTTTAGTTAGAGTTGCTAAATTTGGTTTTTTTTTTTTTTTTTCTTTTGTCAAACGATAGATTTTATTAGATTAAATGTTAGATTAGCCACCGATGAAGTTTGAACCAACGCAGGCATGCAAGGATTCAACACCTTGCAACCCCCAATTTATGTCGCTCCAAACTAAGTTCACCTCTCACAATTCTTTCGTTTGGTTACCATTTTTTGTATCCAATATGTTCAGTTGTTTGTATTTACAGTTTTATTTGCCTGCTTCATTTGGATATATATGGGAAATTGATGGTTGTCTTCTTCTTTGATAAGTTTCGGAGATGGTGTTGGGTTTTGGGTTTCGGATACTGGGGGTGTATTGGGTTGGGGTGGAGGGGTGGTATTGAATGTGTAGAATGCAGCGTTATGTAAGGATCGTAGTTGAAGCTTTAAAGACGAGAGGCATCCATGCTAAGATTCTTGCTTATCCAAGTGTTGCCAAAAGAGAAGAAATATCTTCCATCTTTTTTAGTTCGCCATCGCCATCATCGCCATAACTACATTTTTTCAATTTTCGTTTCTCCTTAAACGTCGTTTTATTGTATTTTCTACTAAATATAGCGACTTGTGATGCTTTGAAATATGTTTATCTCGTGTTTTCTTTGATATAGTAAGTTTTAACTACTAACCGGTACATTCAAAACCTACATCAAAACGCAAGATCAATGTGTAAAATATACGTATGAAACATAACATGTACGAGACAAAAATAGGATGGTTATCACATTAAGTGAGACTAAAATACTAAAAACTTTTTTTTTTTTTACGAGAACGCCTTATAAATGATGTGGTTGGCATCTCAACTCAAGTTTTTCTTTGTATATTATTAAGCCATGCGGTCGACACAGCCATGATTCACGGCAAGAGTCGGAGACTTCGATGTAACGTGCCAAACCACAAACCAACAGTCGATCCGCAATGCCAGACTCAGGACAAAGTCTTGGCCAAGAAAAACAAGAGGACTTTGATGTAGTAATAATCTTTTTTTTTTTTTTTGGTTTAAAATAAAGTGATCTTACCGACACGCGACAGATGTTGGATATAAAGAAAGATTGAGTAGACTTTGTACCACCGTTTCCCACGTACACGTCGACGTAGCATGGATATGGTATCGACGTGTTATAGTGCTTGTTTGGATGTGCTTTTAAAATGTCTAAAAACACTTTTAGTTAAATTGATTTTGAGTTCCAAAATCATTTTAAGTGCTTTTTAGAAGAAGTATTAGATATGTGTTTCTTGCAGGAAGCACTTAAAGTGTTTTTTTAGGATCCACTTGAATTTTTACTAAGGATTAGTATCAAAAACATGTTCACCAAAAGGACTTTTAGTCATTTTAAAAGCATATCTAAACAAACCCATAAACTTATACGTAGCTACGACATATCTACTTTTTTTGAGTAATGACGAGTTATCAACACATATTTAAAGGTTGTATTTAATATAATGGCTTAAACTGGAGTGAGTAATATTATATTTAATCCAACACACAAATGTGTAACAATTAAGTGCATGTAGACTCAAGAAAATAGGTGGCCGATGGTCAATGTACTTTGCAATCAAACCGCGGATGAACTCTAATATTAGTTGTTTATTTATTTGAAGAAAGACGGGAAAGGAAAGGTCGTCTTTTTTCATGTTTTCCTTATAAATAGGCACACATTCAGCTTCATATCTCATATAACATACGCTGCACAGAGAAGTTAGAGAGAACTGTTTGTTTTAGACAGAGAAGTTAGAGAGAGAGAGAGAGAGAGAGAGACAGTGAAAATGTCAGGAATCATGGGCAAGATTGGAGGTGCCCTCCACATTGGGGCGACAAGGACAAAGATGACGAACACCACAAGGACAAAGATGGCGACCACCACAAGGACAAAGATGACCACCACCGCAAGGAGAAAGATGACCACCACCACAAGGACAAAGATGACCACCACCGCAAGGACAAAGATGACCACCACCATAAGGAAGACGACGAAGATGACCACAAAGACAAGGGCGAGAAGAAGAAGAAGAAGAAGGACAAGAAAGACAAGAAGGACAAGAAGGACAAGAAGGATGATAGCAGCGACAGCGATTAATCCGTCGCATGTGCATGCATCTGCCCAATAATCAGGTAATTATTTCCTTAGTTGATTTCATTTTTTGCTAATCCACAAAAGAATTTTAATTAGTTAGATTTAAGAAACAAACAAAACTAGTCGTTAAAATTTTTGACATATGCTATTTTTGAAACATATTGCTACTCAATATTGTCCTGTTACAAGAATGACTTCACGTATAATTTTCTTATATTGGTTATGAGATTTATCTTTACAATATGACCTAAATGTGACCAACACATGGTTGGCCAGGTTTAATTAATTTGTTAGTTAATTCATTAATTTGTTAAGTTTCAATTAATTGTTTATCTCCACATGATTATATATGTATGATTTGCCCTTGTAGGTGTTTGGGGCGTCAAGAGAGCGTGCTCAACTCCTGTTTCCTTTACGTTGCAGCCAATACTTAAATTTCAAGAAGAAAAAGGCTTGTTTCACAGCCCAACCAAAAACCAAGAACCAAAAAGAAAGTGTGTATTTGCTGAATACTGTTACTAGCTACATGAAAAATGTTTCTGGCACGTTTTGAATGTATGATTTAATGTGAAACCTTCGTAAGCCTTTGATATGAAATAATATTTTGGATGAATGCTCACTGCTTAGTATTATCTGTGTTAATCGTTTTAGTTGTTTAATATACTCTTGTATTGCCGATCGTAGTAGCGTTTTTAATTAAACAAGACACTAAAGTATCATTTTTGTTAAAATATAAGTATTTACTTCCACTTATAGATGAGAACTCTTAAGTTTAAATCTCATAAATGACAAGTTTAATATATATTCTTATTCCTAACGCTATCTTTGAAATGAGAGAGAAGGACATTTTTTTTTAAATTGCATTCCAAGGCTAACAAAATATTTGATAGAGTTAAATAAATATATTATGTGGAGGAGTGGCCAATAAACACATGCTTCTCATCTTTTTGAAGATGATTAGCTTGTCGAATTTTTCTTCGATTTGTCGTGTTTTCAAGACATAAGCAATGCACCCAAATACTCTAAGATAATGAATTAGTGATGTCTTCAAGCCATAAGCAATGCAGCCAAATACTGAGAAAAATTAAACATGCGTGTTTTTATTTAGTAGTGAAGAAGTTTGGTATTATACGAGAAGGTAATGAACTAAATGAATATGTAAGCTTTTTATTTATAATGGTTTCTGATATTGGCGTAAAAGTAATCATTTTGGTTCTTGACTATGGAAATCAATTGAAGTGGTCTATGAGTTTGTCCACAATTTATCATTTTGGTCATTTCGTAAAAAATCTATCAATATTCTCGTGTAGTGAAGTGAAGGGGTTGGTTTGACAAAAATACATTTAAAAGGTGGTCACGTGATCATTCACGTGACAAGTTAACAATAATATTGATATGTTTCACAAAATGATCAAAATAATTTACAGTGAACAAACTTAAATACAACTTCTATCAATTTATAGTCAGAAACCAAATAAGTTCTGCCAATTTCATAGTTAATTAAAAAAAAAAAGCCGAATTATGTATATAGCCCAAAATAGTTAAACAATTTACCCTAAACCTTAATGTCTTGGTTCAACTCCCTCCCTCTTTCAATATTGATTACATAAAAGCAGTTCCACCGGGAAACTAATAGGCCAGCACCCATCCAAAAAACCAGTCCGACACCCAGGCTATCCACTCCAGCCCGTCATTTTGACCAGTACCCAGCCCAAGCCAAGCAAGAGACCGGCCTAAAATCGACAGACCCATATGCCTGGCTATCTGACGTTAGTCGGGCCATCAACCTCCCTCGCGATCAATGCATCGCAAAGAGATCTTGGTGCAGAGCTCCTCAAGGCTGAGGTTGATTTCGGATTCTTGGTGCAGAGCTCCTCGGGGCTGAGGTTGATTTTGGGGTTGAGGGAGATTCCAGGTTCTTGGTGCAGAGCTCCTCGGGGCTGAGGTTGATTCTAAACCTACACTTGCAACACGGTGGAGGCACAAAACATGGCGCCTTGGGAGTTTCTAACGACAACCAATGCACAACCGCTGGCAACAACAACGTCGTGGCTATGAGCCCCCAGTTGATCTCAAATTTCGAGGTTTCAACATCGAAGAAGATCAAAGACGACATAAGAAAAAAACACCGCGACCACCGCCAAGAAAACCAGAACTAGGTATAAGGAGGGGGCTTCCCTTCTACAACAATGATGTTGTCCCATCAAAGATTCCATGGCCTTTGTCAATGGAGGTTGATGTTTCTACAGAGAAACAAAGTGGACGGAATTTGAAATTTGAAACCCAATTGACATATAAACAAATACTTGTGTATATTAGGGAAGAAAAAGAACAAGGAGCCCAGAGAGATCATTTTGAGAAAAGTGGGAAAAAGAATTAAAAATTAAATTATTATTATATAATAATAATTAATAATATTTTAATAAAATTAACTAGGCTATTTAGTTTTAGGGGTGGAGATACATTTGGCCTATTACTGTTCATTGGAGTCTATCATTATTCACTGAGTGAATAAATGCGCTGATTGTGTGCATTTGTGTTAGGGGTGGAACTACTTTAAGAAAAAAGAAATCCAATGAAATTTAGACCCCAAACACTATTTTATTATTTTTGTTGTCAAACGCTTTGAGTCTATGCCGTGTGATGGGGGTGAAGGATTTTGTAAATTACATTAAAGAGTAATTATATTAACAAATCCCTTTATAGAAAAGGAATTGAATCCCATCCGGATCCACTTTGTGGGACCTTTAGAGATCTTCATATTTTAATCATCATCGTGTATCATGCGATCATAAATTATTTGATTTTTTTATTATTTAAAATTAAACACAAATAATATCTGACAAAAACTGGTTGCACGATATACAATGAACAGTTAGGATGTGAAGATCTCCACAAAGTAAATCCGGAAAAAATCCCTTTCCCATAGGAAAGGTATATATATATATATATATATATATATATATATATATATATATATATATATATTTTTTTTTTTTTTTTTTTTATAGTAATAAGTACTCTTTTATGGTGGTCCAAACTACAAGTAAGAGAGCGGATCATTGAATATGTTAATTTATGTATTAAAAAGCACCCCATATGTTACATAAAAAAAACATTCGTGCACTTTTGTTCATAAAAAGGTGGAGAAATATTTTTTTTTTTTTACTCATAACATGTAGAGGGTGAATTGAATTTTCAAATCGGCATATCAATTGGGTTTAACCAAATTAACTTAAGCGGTATGCTTTACTCCTTGCACTTAAGTTTGACTTTTTCTCTTTTAACTTATTTTTCTTTTAGAGTTTAAATTCTCTTCCTTCAAATTTGTAATTTATTATCGCAATTAATATCATTTGTTTTAAAATAAATATTTAATAAAAATAAAAAATAAAACAAGTGTCGGAAGGAGTTGACAGTTTGTTTCAAAAGAAGCCACAATAAATAATCCGCACACAGAACGCAACAACTCGCAGCAGCACAAGTAAGATCTATGTATAGGTGTCAATATAGTTGAACAAAACCAACAAATTAAGACAAAAAAAGAAAAAGATCAGAGGGAGGGTACACCATACGTGCAACCAACTATATGTCTACACGGTAATATCAAAGAGACTAAAATTTTAAAGTAAATAATATAGATGTTAATAATTAAATTATTATTTAAGTGTTTATTAATGTGCTTATTTTTATTGATGATACATCATTTAATTTGTAAATTTAATTTAGACATGTGATCTCCCTATCATTATCTTTTTGTTTTTAACAAAAAAAGAGATAATTGATGACAAGCTACGGTTATCCACCTATTTCGAATACCGAAAAAAATTACAGAAACATTTCAACTGCCTTACATAAACATTTCAACTGCCTCTCAACCCACCGAGTTAAAAAAAACAGCAACCCTACCCATTGTTTTCGTTTTCCTTTCAAAGAAAACAACCTAAACCAGGGGGCTGCAGCTCAATGCCTATATATATATATTTTCACCCCCGTCTCAACTTCATCGTCAATTCAAGCACAAGAAGTTTAGTTCTACTCTCAATGGCTTCTCTTGTACTTCTGTTGTCCGTACTAGGGCGTCCCAGCAGTAACAACACGGATCCAAGTAACTTCTGGGTACTTCCCCCTTCTTCTTCTTCTTCTTCTTGTTCTAATTCTGCGGCAGCAGCTGCCGCCTCCGCCGCTTCTAATTCTTTTACTGCCGCCATAAAACCGCTGATTAGAAATGTGAGCTGCAAATACAGTGAGAAGATGGGTTTGGTGGATGATGATCTGCAGTTAGAGTCAAGAGTTTCTGTGGATTCAGTTTGGCCTTAGAGATCCATGTCCTGCTTTGCTATCTTCAAAATCTTAACTAATTTAATAATATTTGGGTCTGTTTGTTTTTTCTTGTTAATCAGTAAGATCCTTTTAGGTTCTTTCGTGTTTTCATATAACTCTTTCAAGTAAGTTGCAACAAGAAACTTGAATGCAATGGCTTCCTATAGAACTGCAGAGAGACACATCAATACATCAGGTTGGACGTATTTTGCTCACCACCTTTTAAGTGGTGATAATACTCATTACTATTTATTATGATTTTAAATTTTGAGAATGCAGATTACTCTATTTATTATCATTGGTTAAGTTTAAATATTAAGATTTATTGCATAAATTTCGAATTTAAACACATTCTTAAATAGGATTGTAAGTAAAAATATTGTTTATCATTTTGCATCCCTCCAAGTGACACGTCCTTACAAAGACAAACTGCAACTTGAAAGGTTGCATTTCTTTTTTTGAATACTTCCATATTTTTACACTAAAAGAATAGGGAATTTAGTTAAGCTACATAATAAGCAATTTAATTTGGTATCGAATTTGCCATCCATGAGATTCGAAGATAAGACCTCTCACTTCCAAGTGAAGTGTGAATGCAAATTTCCGTCTTTTCCTTCTTGGACGAAAATACATCTGCAAAACAATTAATACCTTAGATCAAGGTCAAAAGCCTCATGCGCCCACGATGAATGAGAGGACTTTGGCCGAAGAACCTTCGATGTTAAAGTTAGAATTTGAGAGAGAAAGTGTTTAGAGAAATTTGGAGAATTTTAAAAGATAATTGAACTTAGATTTTTGGAGAAATGATGTGATATTTATAGGAGTGTGGTCTGTCCCCTTTGGAGAGATGGGAACCGACCACTATATGATGGTTTTTTAGTGTAATTGCAAGATATTATGTCAAAATAATATCTTGCAATTAATTAAAAAATTAAACAATTAATTTAGGTAATTAATTCTATTTTAAATGAATAATTGAAAGTTACCTTTGAGGAGGATTTGATGAGGATGAATGAAATATGTTTTGAATAAATACCTATTTTGCTCACTTTTGACCTTGATTATGCTATGATTGTTTGCTATTGATGGTAATATTGTCCTTTTCACCTAAAAGTACACGTGTCACTTCCATAATTTTCCTGATTATTTTTTACTCCACAAATACAACCAAACCGTAATACTGAGTGACTGAAATGTTGCATTTCTAATTAAACGACCTATTTGGTAACCATAATTTTTTTTAGGTTTTATTTCCGTTTGGTAATTAATTTTGATTTTTTCAAATTTTCAAAATAA